GTATTGCCCTTCTTTGGGCCGCGCCTCCGTGCACTTTTGGCTTGTTTGTGCGCTTTTGGCCTGTCGTGCTGCCTTCCTGCTGTGTGTTGTCGGTGTGGCTTTTTTATGGGGTCGCGCCTTGTTCGCTATTGGCCAGTTCTGCTTCCTTCCTGCTTTGTCCTCGAGCCTCGGCGTGGCCTTTGGCCGTTTCTCCGTGTTCCTTCTTGGGCCGCGCCCCCGTGTGCTATGATGCTATTGGCTTGTCGTGATGCATTCCTGCTTTCTCTCCTTCTTTGGGCCGCGCCTCTGTGTGCTATTGGCCAGTCCTGCCTGTGGCCTTGTCGCCGTCACTGGGGGCTTCTGCCTTGGCACTTTCTCGCGGGGTAGCGGCTCCTCTCCGGCACGTTTTTTGGTTCCGTGCCCCTCCCTCCCTCCCTCCTCTTCTTCTCTCCCGGCAGCTTGGTTTGCATTGTGCTAGAACCCCTTCTCGAACCCTTCACAGAGGGCGGCCATGACGTTATCGGAGCTGCCCTCTGCGATGTGCGGGGTGAAGAGCGTGGGCGGCTGCAGCTACTGCTGCTAGCCACTTCCGTTCCATTCCCCTCCCCCCCCCCTCGCCCCCCCCCCCCCCCCTCCCCCCCATTCCATTCCCTAAACCCTAAACCCCACCCCTCCCTAGACCCCTAAACCCTAAACCCCAAACTTTAAACCCTCAACCCAATAGCTGCCGAAAATTGGAAGTGCTCGGCAGGTCTTCGATCGGTATGTCCGTTCGCTGCCCTCTTTGGACGAGGTCCTCCGCGGAAGGGTTTAGAGTTAGGGGTTTAGGGTTCTATGGGGTGTTCTAGGTAATGATATTCCTTGTAGTCCCAACGCCCTGTTCTAGTTCTTAAGGCCTTGATATTAGGGTCTGAAGCTGTAAACCCCTGGCTCTACATTGCTGCTCTCAAACCTAAAGCCTTAACTCAAATCTGAAACCTTCAATTTAAGCATATAAACTCGAAGCCCAAAAAGCCTCAATTCAAACCCAAGGCCTAGAAGTCTTAAACTGCATACGGGTAGTTCTCTAAACTCGGGTCCCTTTCTACGTCCCCAATATATAGTACAGCATTTTTATAAAAAGATCCAGAAAAGGGACGCTAATTTAGAGCACTACCCATATAGAGCCCTTGCAGGAATCCTCAAAGGAAGCATCGTAGAACCTTTGTGTAATTCATAGAGCGCTGAAGCCCCAAGCCCTTAAACTTAAAACCCTAAAACCCTAAACCCCGTAAATCCCAAAACCCTTAGACCCTTTACCCCAAACCCTACGCCCTAAACCCAAAACCCTTAACACCAAACCCTAAACCCTTAAACCCTTAAACCCTAAACCCTTAAAGCAAAGGAACCCCCCAAAGAGAGCCCAATGCTTCGTCCGCTGCGCCCTGAGGCTCAAGGCCTGACTGAAACGGCTACGTCTGCGGATTTAGGGTTTAGGGGTTTGGGTTTAGGGTTTAGGGTTCAGGGTTTAGGGTTTAAGGTTTTGTACAAGGGTTTAGGGCTCTCTCAAGGGTTCGCGTAAGGGTTGTGAATTTCAGAATTTAGGAATCTAGGTTTCTGTTGGGGGATTGATGTCCGGCGGCAAATTGAACCCAAGGCCATACCTTCTTAATGATTTACATCTTAAACCCTAGACTCTTCAAGAAGCTTCCACAGCCCCTACAGAACTCTTCGAAGCCTTGTAGAACCATACATAACCTCACAGAACCTACTTGGGAGTTTCACAAAATAGGGGACCCTAACAGAGTACCCTAAATAGTAGGATCCTTACTTTAAGGACCCCAAAGTAAGGTACCCTAATTTTCGGGAAACTCCTACTTGGCCATGGCCCTGTTTCGCGTTCTCTGTGTGGCGTTTCTTTGCAGCTTCGAGTCTCTCGCTCTGGCCAGCGGAGATTTCAGCAACGAGAGCGCTTGCTCCTGGGCCTTAGATCCTAGGTATGAGGGAGACCCCGTTAAGAGGAACCCTTCTGAACCCTACTTCTGGCTCTCTGATAGGGACCTTAATGAGAGGGTTTATGTCTTGAATCCTGACTATTACTGGAGCTACACAAGGTCGTTTTGCGGTTCTAGAAGAATATTTTCAAGTTTCTATCAGGTTTCTGGAAAGGCTTTGCTAGCGTTTCTAGCTTTTTTTGGTGTTTTTTTCGGCTGGGAGTTGGGGCTTCAGGGCTCTGTGCTTGATTCCGGGATACTTCTGGGTTCAAGACGCGCTTCTTTTCGAACAATCTCGCAGGCAGCATCTGTCTTTTTGTGTCTGACAATGCTTTCGTGACTGTTAGTGCGAATCCTGTTTGTTTTTTTGTTGTCTTCTATTTCTCAGCTTTCTTCAGTTTTCGTTGCTCGAGGTTCCCGTCAGTGCTTGACGAGTTGGATTTCCCTTCTGGGCCGTTGGGGTGTTTCTTGCGATTGAGGGTTTCGGGGCCTCGATGTCTGTTGAACCCAAAGCTTACACATCTCGTACAACTCCCTAAACCCTAGGCCCTAAACCCTACTCGTAAAGCCCTACTTTAACGTACCAAAACCTACTTTTTTGGTAGGGTCCCTATAAATCCCATATTAGGGTTTATAATAAGAACCTACAAAACGGTAGAGTTTGGTAGGTTAAGGTAGAGATTGTCAAACTTGAATCCGGCCTGAACTCTCAAACTCCAATCCTCCTTGAGCCGTACGTCCCAATCACCATGACAACCCGAGCAAGAAGAAACGGTTTAGGGCTTAGGGTTTAGGGTTCAGGGTTTATAGAATTTGTTAAGGGTTTGGGTCCGAATAAGTCTTGACCAAAAGTTTTGACCGAAACGTTTTGACCGAAAGTTTTTTTTTGCGAACCGTGTTTTGAAATTTGGTTGGGGGGCTGGGGATGGGGCTGGGGATGGGGCTGGAGCTGGGGCTGGCGCTGGCTGGGGGGCTGGGGGGCTGGGGGGCAGGGGGGCTGGGGGTCTGGGGGTCTGGGGGTCTGGGGCAGTGGAGACGCACACTCATCCGTGACAGGTGCGCCAAATTGTCTTGAGGCAAAACCGTGGGTGTGACGCATCATGAGTAACCCCGCATGGGTGAGGCTGCAGCTTTTCGCTTCTGCACGCGACTCGAGCTCGAGCTCCCGCAAGACTATGGATGTGGAGTCACTGCCTGCCACGGTCCGAGTGCTCCTGAACTTGCTAGGCTGCATGTGTGCAAGCCCGCTGTTACCAAGGACAGGACGATGGAGGATCTCGCCATCCAATTCGACTTTGCGTACCTCCTGATTCGTGCCTATCTTAGCTCTATGACGCAAGGGACGCTCTAGTGTTCGTTTGATTGACTTGCGTGCAGGGCTACACGCGCCATGCGGGCGCATCGTCTCGCTGGTGCGCAACAACTCGCGAGATCCGGGCTCGCCCCCTAGCATAACGCAGCCCGCATCAGTGTTACATCGCGCTAGTACGTTGGCTACCGCAATGCAGCTGCTGGTTTTGCTATCCAGCCGGCTCTTGACATCCCTGCCGGAACGTGTTTGTGCGGTTGAGGCGGCTGTGGCCCGTCTCGTCGCTGCTCGAGAAGGGTGTACGCACTAAACCGAGCACCGTGGCGGCTGTAGTGCTTCTGTCTGTAGACGTGGTCGTGGTGCAGTGCGACTTGTGGAGGCTGTACTTGCCGCCAAGCTGCGCAACAATCTTGCGCATGCCATCAACGGCAACACCGCGCGCAGTGCGCCAGCGGGAAGGTAGCGCGATGGCAACATATACTGATATTTCTGTCTTATGCTTAGAGTACCCGGACTTGCATCAAGGCCGGATAAAGCCAATGGAACATGTGGGAGCCGCGACTTTTCCAAGGAGTCGTAGCCTCGGCGGACAAGGAACACTAGCAAGGCATTTGTTGCTCTCGAAAGAAAACTGCAGGGGTTACGAGACGCTGTCCTTCGGTTCCTGGCGATGACGAAAGAGAAGCAGGTGTCCATCCTCCAACACTTTCGCTCAGCGGTCTACAAATTCACACCTCCCCCCAAGACCGCTTTCCGATTTTGGCATCGATACATGCCTTGCAGTCTGTCGCCACGTTTGGCAGGTGCGCGGTCGTTTGCAGCAATCGAGCCAACAATGGCCAGCTGCCGCAGCATATGAAGCTGGCTCGGATACAGAAGCCAGCAGCTGGGCCGGCTTCTTAACAGAAGTCTCAAAATTGCAGCAGTGCTAGCAAAGATTACTTGATGCGGTTTGTGGCCTGCGGCGTTGTCATTGCGAAACCCGAGGTGCAGGGCAATCGCCGCTTGGAGATCCTGCGGCTGTTGTTCGGCCAGCTGAAAGGGATCTACCACGACATGAAGGGAGACCAGGCCAGAGTCAAACGGCACTGGGGCGTGACCGTGGGTGGCTACTACTACTACTACTACTACTACTACTACTACTACTACTCCTGCTGCTGCTGCTGCTGCTGCTACTGCTACTGGTACTACTTACTACTACTGCTACTGGTACTACTACTATTACTACTGCTGCTACTATTACTACTACTACTACTACTACTGCTACTACTACTACTACTACTACTACTACCACTACTACTACTGCTACTACTACTACTACTACTACTACTACTACTACTACTGCTAGTGTTACAAATTATGCGAAGGCATTGTGTGGTTGTGCGGGGCATTTCTTCCGGTTAGAGGCTTGTGAGACAAGCCCGGATGAGAGCCATTTGCAGATTCAAGTTTGCGCCCGTGTACTTGCCGAGTGTCCCGAGCCTCGAGTCTGTGCTGTGATCCCAGTCGTGCATCTAACGTTGTGGAAACTTCATATTTTTGTATCTGCGTGGCTCATGTCACTTGTACGGCTGAAAGGTCACCATGGTGTCTGGTACTCCATGGGCTGACATGACGGACGACGATGGTAAGGCTTTTTCGGGTGCGCAGCGGCTTCCGACATGTGAGAAAACAAGATGTGAAAACGAGACACACGTTCGGAGGCCTGTGTCTGGTGGACTGCTTTCACGAGCACCTACATGGCGGAGCACTGCAGTCTCACACTGCTGACGCCCGTGCAGACCTGCCGCTCTAGTTATAAACAAAGACAAACAATTTCTATCTATCACTTTCTTGAGGGTTTAGGGTTTAGGCTTCTGGGTTTAGGGTTTAGGGTTTCGGGTTCAGGGTTTAGGGTTTAGGGTTTAAGGGGTCCCAACTTCCGAGCCAAGTCTCGAAGCACCTAAACCCCAAAGCCGCAATCCCCGCACACGAAACCAAAACCCCAAACCCTAAACGCGAAACCCTAAAGAAAGCTCCTTCCGCTGGCCCAGGTGGCGACGGCGAGAGCTTCTGCCCACACCTTTGCGGCCTCGTCCTAGTGATGGCAGACAACAAGGCCTCTTGAAGCCCTTGCACACTAACCCAATGGGTCCATGTACCTAAACAGCATATACTTTGGCCTTAAAGTAGTCCTTGTATAGGCACTTTGGGACCACAGTATTTGCTTCGGACGCTTCATGGATCGTTATGAGAATTAGGGCTTTGGCAAGGGTTCTGGGGTTTTCATCGTCAGTATGGGTCTCACGGGTAATTTTTGGTGGGTGAGAAGTGTAGGCATTTCATATGTGCTGAAGTTTGGTGTGTGGGGTTGCTAGCGTTTCGGGTTCGGCGGGCATTCACCGCGAGTTCCACAAGGCACAGCAGGAAGCTGCCTTGAAGTACCCGAGTCTGCCTGAAGCTACAGTGACCTTTGCACAGCATGCCGAGAAATACGGGTGGCGTACAGAAGCAGGATTCCAGAAGATCCCAAATGCACTGAAGCAGCCTCTGAGTGGTTCACATTCGTCGGAGACCGGCAAGAACAGCATCACCGAGTTGCAGTTTCTGTCATTCCTATAAGGAACCCTTGAAGCGAGCCATATACCCCTTATGGACCTTAAAGGAACCCTAAACAGGATCCTTCAACGCAACCCTGAAGCCTGAAAAAAGGCGTGCGAGGATGCCTGCCATCGTCGTCTCCCGACCATCAAAGCAACTCGGATCTTTTCTTAGGCACTTTCCAAAATCCCTTAACTATATAGGGAACATACCTTAAATTATAGATGATTTAGGGAACATTCCTGAATAAAGGGATTATTGGAAGGTTTGGCTTTCGCTGCTTTGAGGTTTCAGCTTAGGGTTGAGGGCTTTGGGGCTAAGGGTGTAGGGCTTAGGGCTTCGGGCTTAGATTTTTAAGGTGCAGGGTTTAGGGTTTTGGGGTTCGGGATTTGAATTGGGGGCGGCGTGGGCGGGTTTGGATGGAGTTGGGCTACACCGCGAGCGCTTCTAGCATTTTATTCCTCATCGTTTTGGCAGCCTTGATGAAATACCCTATGAGCCCTTGACCCTGCATGCGAAACCCTAGACCCGGCATCCACCGTTGGAGCACTGGAGGGCCGCTCGGGACATCAATCTCGAGAGGTCCGAAAATTCGTATGTGTACTTATTTCCATGAATAAGCAGATAACGGGTGCACAAATTCGTAGATTTCGAAACCCAAACTCTGCAGCCGAAACCCTACGACCCTACGATGCCAACGTGGTGTCCTCCTCTCCCCCATGTTGCTGAGATTTGCGTAGGCAGCAGCTGACAAGAAACCAAAGGCCGAAACCAGGGTAAAGGGGTCTGAAAACATCAGAACGAATGGGGTTCGGGGTGTACTCTCGTACTGCTACGCAGGGACTGCGAGGTGACATTGTTACGAATTCTTCAGACTCTTACCCCAAAGGTCCATGTACCTAACAATCATATTCTCTCCCAAGTAGTAACCTGTATAACTACAATCCGGAGCCCAAGTGCCTGATTAGTGGGTCCTGTGGACCGAGAGGGTTAGATTCAACTCAGCCGAGGCAGCTGTCATGGATTATTGCCAGGGCAAGGCGGACGTCGGTTCCCTTTGGGGCTCGGGGGTTGGGTTCTGTTAAGCCTCCCGAAACTCCAGTTATCCCCGTAAACCCCTAAACCCCTAAACCCCTAAACCCCTAAACCCCTAAACCCCTAAACCCCTAAACCACCGCCGTGAACAAAGGCCTCCAACTTGCCTGAAGCCTCCCTTCTACCGACCTTGAGAGCCTTGAAGTCCTACCTTCAACCCCAAACCCTACCTGTAGCCGAAAAGACCTACCCTTTTCAAGGAACCATATGCGTGGTTGTCAAAATTATGGTTCCTTTTTGGGTCCTTAGTATATAGCACGGCACCTATTATTTAGGGTACCCAAAAAGGGACCTTAATTTTGAAAACTACCCATATATATATACACATAGAAACCAGAATAAGGAACCCCGGAAAGTAGGTCCTCTCGGCCACAGGTATAATAAGCCTCTTAACCCAAAGCCCCGAAATCATGCCTAAACCTCTCCAAGTTAGCGGATCAGGGGTTGGCGCAATGCGGTTTAGGGCTGCAGTGTTGAGATTTACTGAGGGGTTGTGAACTGCAGGTTTTCGGGGCTGGTAGTCTTTAGTAAACTAGTCAAATGGTCTCTGTTGCTTTTTGTTGGTGTGGATCGGCTCACAGAAGCCGGTATAATAGAGCTTTAAGAAACCCTATCCCCCCAAACCCTAAACCCTAAACCTAGATCATCGACTCCGAACCCAAAGGCCCCAAACCCTGAACCCTAAACTCTAAACCCCTAAACCCTAAGCCTACACCGTAAACCCCTAAACCCTAAACCCTAAACTCTAATCCCCCCAGGGCCCTTAATCCTACAACGGCTGTGCCAGTTTTGCTCGGCTGCCCTGCTGGACGGGTGACTCGGTTGGAGTAAGGCCGTGCTCTCTGGGACATCTGTTCAGTTTAGTTGCATTTCATCTGTTTTTTTCTCGGGTTTCAGAAGGATTTTGGGGTATGAGTGGTTCGGGGTGTTTAGTGGGTTCAATGAGGATTTCTGAGGGATTCGTGGTTTAGGGTTATGGCACTGTGGTTGGGGTATTGGAGCTTGAAGGTATAGAGGTTCAGGGATTCTGTCGGCAGGCTCCGAGCTTGACGGTGTCAGGTGCGCAGATGTGGGAGTTTCCCAAAATTGGGGACCCTAATATAGTACCCTAAGTAGTAGGATCCTTATTATACGGACCCCCAAATTAAGGTACCCCCTATTTTCGGCAACTCCCATGTAGGTATCCCACCAGTTTGCGCCCTTGAAGACCTTGTTTTGTTCGAGATTCCCATTGCGAGCGAATATAGCTCAGGCACGAGTTTGTCTTTCAGGTTTGTGTCTGGATTCTGATCACAGCTTGAGGATTTAATGCTTTGTAGTTGGGATTTAGGATTTAGGGAGGTGTTCGATTTAGATTTCTTGTGGAGTAGGTAATATCCACAACTTCACGGGCACTGCAAAGACGAAAACGAGAAGACATCCTTAGAGCAAAGCTCAGCTGGTAGATTGCGGGTCTGCTGAGGTCATCTTAAGGCCTGTGACCCCAGGCCTAAACCCTAAACCCGAAGTATATGGGCTGAACCCCAAACCCTAAACCCCAAATAGCCTTAAACTCCAGAGTCCACTTCTCGCGATCGAACGTCCCTAAACCCTGCCTCGGTAAATTGGCCTTGCTTTGGTAGGCCGTATAGAACCCAAAGAAGCCCTGTAGACGCTTCCAAACCTGCCTTCCTTTGTAGTAACTAGGGGTACTACCATACTTGTAATCATATGCCCATTTAAGGTACTTAAAACCTTATGTACTAATTCCCATGGTCCTCCGTAGGCCCTGAACACTAAATCCCCATAGATCCCCTTTTAAGCAGCCTTCGCCCTAAACCCGAAAGGGGCCCTTTGCCAGGATCCTCAAAGTAGCTTCCCAAAGACTCCAATATCCCTTAATTAAGGAATATACCTTAAACTATAATCGGATTCCTAATATGAGTTAAGGAATATTCCTTAACTAAGGGATATTGGAGTCTCTACCCTAAACCCTAAACCCTAAAACCGTAGCTTGCTACCAGCCCAGGAGCAGCTTGTTGCAACATCGCTCCGCTCCGGGCTGCGATGCCCGGGAGCCGTACTGCGCCTTGGCGTCTCACATTAGGGGTTTAGAGTCTTGGGGTTTTGGGGTTGAGAGTTTCGGGGGGTTTTGAGGCTTAGGGTTTGGGTTTTGGGGTTGCGGGGTTTGGGGTTCAGGTTATTCTGAGTTAGAAGTGTGAATCGGGACATGAACAGCTAATAGTATGATTCCTCACGGTTCATGTCTTTTATTGTAGTACAGCATAGCCCAAAGTGTTACCATACTCTTTTGGGTATAGCACTGCCCTCCAGAAGCCTGAATTGTAAGTATAAATAATATCATCCCCTTGCAGTCCGTGTATCAGATACAACAATGGAATGCTCGCAACACCCCTATCGAGTTGCTAAGGGCTAGTCTAGAACAACCCTCATAGTATAACTTGAAAAAGAACCCCTAAACCTTTTGACGCTAAAGCATCTACGGCCCAAGGCGAGCGGCTCTGCCATGGCGGACTTTTTCAGGATGAGGCTGATAGGGTTTGGGTTTTGGGGTTAGGGTTTTTGGGTATACGGTTTTGGGGCTGAGGATGTCTTGGGGCTCTTAGGCTCATGTAACGTTTCAGGGTGTAGGGGCTCGAGGCATAGCTTTTGAGTTTCTGGGTGTTGGGTTTGGGAATGTGCAGCAAACTGGGATGTCATGTGCTTTCGGTCCAGCCTTCGGGATCGCAGCACTTCATGTTGCTTGTTCACTGTGTCTGTCTTATGCGTCTTTATCTGTTGACCTCGTTGCTCTTTGTGCTCTCGGTTCCAGACCTTTGCTGAAGGGTGACTAGCATCATGGTACGATGGATGCTCCGCGTCATTTTAGTCGTCATGGGGCCTTGCAAGTAAGGTTGTAAGTACCGTCATTAGTTGAGGTTTCAAATAGTTAAATTATAAGTTTAAGTATAGCCACCGTAACATTAACCCTAGGTACCAGGTCCCATGATCCTGTGTGTAGAGTGCGCAGGGAATCCTTCACTTCGAACCCGAAACCGTAAAGCCTACACCCAGACCCAAAGACCCGAAAGCCCTGAGTCATGGCGTAATACAGAGGCCAGAATAATCAGTAATACTATTCCGTAGGGTTGCCATCATTCCACCCTTAAAAAGAACCCTGAATGTTAGCAAATGTCGGAGGCGTTTTCATGAACGCAACCTCAGAGGTTTCTTGAAAGGAGGGCTTGAAGAAATTTAGACTTGAGACTCTGGGTCTAGGGTTTGTAGCATGTTGGGTTGGTGAGGCTTTTATGTGACCTTATCGGCCCCACCAAGAGCACATCTGTGAGATGTCACAGAGGCTGAGCGGCCCGCCTAAACCCGAAACCGTTGAGGACCTGGGATGTCACACAAGCTGTGTTTCCCACTTTGACATCCTCAAGAAGGCTTACGACAACTGGTGCGACCTTTGCCAAAACCCAGAGGGCACCTTGGAGAAAAACACTGTTGAGCGGGTTTTTGGTTTTAGGTTTAGGGTAGACCCTGAACCCTAAGCTCCAACACCCAAGACCCCTAACAAAAAAACGAAACCCTAAACCCCAAACCCTAAACCCCTAAATTTAAAACCCAAAATGTGCAGGGTGGTCGAGGGTTCCCCGTTATGGGGCTTGGAGCATTACCTAAACCCTAAACCCTAAACCGTCGGTTTGTGTCGGTGGTTTAAGGCTTAGTGCGCGACCATCTAGGGTTTACGGCTCAGTGTTTAGGCTATGGGCTCGAAAAACGTCTCGGATTTTCGGTTCAGGTTTTACGGCTTAAGACATGCCGTTTCAGACCTCTGCTGTTTCAGGATTGGAGTAGTTCTCTGAATGGTACAGTGTTGTTGGATCCCCAAAAGGGGCCCTCGTTTGAAGAACAGCCCATATCATTCTGAAACCCTAAACCTGCATCCAACCAAACCCTTGCCCGTCTCAGGCAAGCACTCGAGCAAGAGCGCCGTCCCACGCCGCGTCCACTGAGCAAGTGCAGAGACGCCAAAAGCCAGCTAATATGGAAGCATAAACAATTGCTAGTAGTAAAGAACATAAGCCCAAACACCCTATTAATGCATTCCCGAAAACCCTATCCTAATTCTAAATGTGAAGGCCTCTGCAGTAGGCGAGGAACCTAACACCCCAAGCCCGAGGCTCATCGGGACGGTTGCAAAGATCGTTGCCTTTATTGCCCTTGGGACACTGCTTTCCGTGCTATATACATATATAAAAATATGAATAGATAAGTATATATGGTGCCGTGTCGCCGCGTCGCAGGCCCCCCCCCCCCCCCCTCACCCCCCATGGTATGCCCCCCCCCCCTTGCCCAGGCCAGGCCTCTCGTCCCAGCAAACAGTCATCCACGCAACTCCCCCCCAAAGCATACCTCTCCTTAGCAAACGGGGAGAGCGGGAGGGGTAACCAACAATCCATAGAACCACAAGACAGAGAACCACAGGGCCCCTTCCCCTCCCCTTCGACATACAGATGAGAATGATGGCGATGATGTTGTGCCCAATGATGTTGATGTGCTATTCCCAGTGTGGCTGTTGGTGGTACCTTTGCTCTTGTGTTGCTCTGGGCTTCGGCACCGCATGCTCATTGCTTTATTTAGTGTGAAATTCGCGCTTGGCTTGTGATGTTCTTGCGAAAACTGTATCGACCGTTGTCATTCCAGGCCAAATTGCGGTTGGGTTCGTTGAAAGTAAGTTTGAGTACGAATTTGAATGATTTTCATTCGGGACTCTTGAGCAAGGGACCGGAGGAGAGTGCGGATGGGGATCATGACCACCATCTTGGTGGTCATTATCATAACCAGAGTATTAATCTCTGTCATTGGCTTTGGAGCTCAGGGCAGGTCGGAGTCCAGTCGAACTGTATCACATCCTAAGGCCAAAACCCTTAGCAGCCGGACGCCCAACGGCCCAACCAGCAATAGCCATGGAAGGGGGCACAGCTGACCGCAGCCACAGGGGGGAAGGGGAGGGGGGAGCCCACACCACAGCGAACCACAGGGGGGGGAGGGGGGATACCATGGGGTGGGGGGGGGAGGGGGGGCCTAGCAGCGCTGCACCATATATATATATATATATATATATATATATGTTTGTCTTGGGGGTTTTACCCAGAGACTCCAATATCCCTTGATTAGGGAATATCTTGATAGTCCTTAAATCATATTGGGGAACCCACTAGAGTTAAAGATCTATTCCTTAATTAAGGGATATTTGAGCCTCTGGGGATGGAACAGCATGAGATGCCTCCCTGGCACACCGTGTGATTACTTTCCCTGCGCAGTGGGACCCTCCTCCCCATCGGCGCACACCACCTTCCTGCGCGGCTCTCCTGACCTCCTGCGCTTCGTTTTTCGCGCCATGCTCGCATCCCCAGCACACTGGCTCTAGTATATCAGAGCACCCCAACGTGCAAGAGCCATGAACGCTGCCATGGCGTCCGCAGAAGCTTCAACAAAAGCCCATGCGCTTCGCTTACAGTATGTTTTTGTGATGTTGAAATCAGTTGGCATACCGTCCCCTCCACCTCATGCAAGAGACAGGCCGAACGGCAAATTTTGTGTGTGTTCAAACGGATGGGATTCAGGTTGATGTCTTCTTGCGAAAGTGGTCGGACTCAAACGAAACTTTTGACTCGTGCGTCCAAAGTGTTCCTCCACAGTGCAGCTTGTGCCCCCGACGGCCCCGGCCCCGATGTGGCGAACTACCCGCACGACATGTTTACACAAGGCGGGGAACATGGGTGGGGCATATTGGGGAAGGCCGGGACAAGCTGAAGGAACTTCGCGGAGTGTGCGATGAAGTGCTCCGTAGCAGGCCGAACCTAGCTTCCCGACAGTCCAGCCCGCTGACAAGACCGATTTGACCATTGGTCCCACTGACATCACCAGTCCTATCGATCGCAGTCACACCCCTCCTGCAATGTGAAGCTCGTCGACGATTACATATAATCTCCTCTTTCGTGAAGGTTCGGGCTTGTTCGCAGCCTACACTTGGACAGAGACTGGTGTTGCAAGTTTTGGTTGACTGTTGATTCTGGGGGCAACATCTCGTTTTTGAGCTTCATGCGCGCATGGCTGATGAATGTTCTCTCAGCAGCTCGCATTGGGAAAGGGGAGAGGGGGAAGGCGCAGCAGAGGGGAGGAAGACGACAAAGAGAAGATTGATCCTTGGGCCATGTTTAGGCCAAGACGAGACGCTGCAAGGAAACAAGATAATAGAGAGTAGACAACATCAAGGAGACACAGTACGAACACAACACCGGTAGAGAGAACCAAGAAGACACGATTCAAACAAGATGGAGGCAAAGAGCCCCACGAAAACACGTCGCGAACAATAAAAGGTTAGTCAAAACTAAGACACGCTGCCGAGTGCTTGCCCAGATTTTGTGGGCGAATGTATCAGACTCCCTTTGCCGTGCTGTTCTTCCGTTCAGTGGGCTTGGAGTTGGTCGGCGCGGTTTGGGAACGTTTCAAAACGGTTTGATTGGTACCTGCTCCCAGCCCGGGTTTTTGTGCTATAAGCAAGAAGCATCGCACCTGCCCGATGCAATGCACATGCCAACTTTTCTGCAACTCGTTCGCTGTCGCTTCCTCCATCGCAGGTGCTTGCCGCTTCAAGTTGCATTTGTGACCGCATCAAGCGTTGGCATGGGACTGTAGGGTACAACTTTGCGTTCGGGCCCCTTCCATAACAAAGTGCCGGCTATGGTATATCCGTGGAAAAACCATTCCGTCGCAACCAAATCCGGCAATACCAATAAAATGAAGGTCAGGAAATTGAAGGATGTAAAGCTGCCTTTGCACGTGAACAGAACTCTCCGTGCCAGGGCAACTTCCGCACCGCTTTCCCCCACGATCTCCGCAAAGACTTTCAGGCCTTCGCAACAAGGCATGAGCAAGAGTTCGCTTCCAAGCTTTCTCAGAAATGCGCCGGAGGAACGGTTTGTCTCCAGTGCAGTGCGGCTTTGCAGCGAAGGGACATGAAAAGATGGAGAAGGGCATAAGATTTATCCGCGAGCCCCCTTCGTTCGTCGTGCAGTTTGGCGCATTGTCCAAGCGTCTGGCACCGCACCTCAAAATTCACATGCCGTCGGGGTGGCAATCGAGCATGCAAGCCAGTAGTGTCGCCGGGTGCCCACCACATGCTGGTACAGTCGTGGGTCTACTCGTCTGCATGTTGACCATGACGACCGTGGCTTTGGTTTTGTGTTAATTCTTTAGTCCGGGCCTAGCGTGACGTGTGTCGTCAGCTGACCAACGAGCAGGGCAAGTGTGGCTGCGTGCATCTGAACGCCGGGGATGTCGTCTATGGAAGTTATTCGACTTTCCACGCCCTTAACCAAACCCTTAATCAAAGCTTGAACGCAACCCTAAACCTTAGCCTTACTCACTGATACGTCACCTTGGAAGCACCACAACTTCGAACCAATGAATGTCGAACCCTCGAGCTTTACCCCTGCGCCAGCACGGCGCCCATCCGGACCCTACTCCACGGTCTCCATGATTGGGTTTAGGGTTTGTTGCGTTAGAGGTTATGGCCCAGAGTTTTGAACAACGACTACACGGCCCCAGCATAAGTGAGGTTTTATACATATTCAGCAATCGCTCATTGATCTCTAGATTGCAAAATTTTGGGAAACATCCTTTCAGGGTCCCGATATAGTCATCATCGTTTAATAGCCTCTGCAGTGAAGGTTTCTCCCATGGGTTGGGGTGTAGGGACACATTCAGCATGTCCTGTGCCGGCAGTTGCTTCTGCCGACGCATATTAAAGTTCCAGAGAAGTGTATTTGCGGGCTGCTTCGGGCCGGAAAACAGGAACCAAGAGCACCAGCACAGGCTTCGGGCGCAGTGTGCCAAGTAGTGTAGATGTTTACGAGCTGTAGCGGGAGCATGCCAGAGATGATTAAGAAAGGGCTCGGCTTTGGAAGCTTGGGTCAATGCCAAGGCTTGCTGTAAGCTGGGGGTTTGAGTCGTATACCAAGTGGATCAGTGTGATTCGGAAGGCTAATGGTAGAAAATGAGGCCCTAAAGCTCTAGACAAAGGTTGGGACAAGGGTACTACATACCACGCATCACAAAGGTGTAGCTGCATAACGCCGTAACTTTAATTAAACCCAAGGCTAAAAGTGTGGGGTTTGCAGCATTGGGTTAAGCGACTAAGTCAGGGCATAGGGTTGAAAGGCACAGGCTTGAGTTTAGTGATTCCGGGTTCGGGTGTTGCTGTTTTTGAGTTTGATCCGCGGGCTCCCGAAGCCCTCCTAGACTCGAAGTCCTAAGCCGTAAACCCGAAACCTTCAACCGTAAGCCCTAAGCATCCCTAGCCGAGGCCCTAAACTTTATACGTATATATAAAATATTTATATGTATGTATGTATGTATGTATGTAATACAGGTTTATGTATGTGTATGTGTACATATATATATATATATATGTATGTATGTATGTATGTATATATATATATATATGTATTTATATGCACATATTTGTATATGTATATACATATATGTATATAAACATTCAACAGCCGTAGGAGCTTGGCCTTGGCCTCAACTGCCAGGCCTATGCATCTGGCGTGCCCTTGGCCACGCCTCTGGAGGATGTCGACCGTCTTGAGGCGTCGGGCGTTTACAAAGGGCCTCAGGAAACGGGTTCGGGGGTTTGGGCTTTGGGGCGGCTTCAAAATGTTATGGGGCTTACGGCCTTGGGCACTTGCGGATTTAGCAGGCTACGGGGTTCAAGTCTGCACATCCTAAACAGCAGCTCCGAGGTTGCGCAAAAAGGATGGTTTAGGTGACTTTATAACATTATAGGTTCTATCGGCTACCTGTAACCGAAAAGACCTACCTTTTTCGGGTTCTTTCTTCCGGTTTCTACAAATGGTTCCTGAAAAAGGTAGGCCTTTTCGGCTACAGGTACGCGGGATGCGGGCGTTACTAGCCTGCAGTTCACTGTCACCCCCCTTTAACC